TGGCAAATATATTTTTTAATCAGATATTATTTGGACTGTCATATATAGTTTATGAACACATGCTGTACTAACTGTGTGTTAGAGCAATACATGAAAGAGTTATGCCAGCTCAAATCATGGTCAAACTGATAATTCTGCACATACATGGAATAAATTCACTACAACTTCTGTTCAAAATATGAGTTTATTAAAAAAATAATTCAGCTCCAAGTCAAACATATGTCAGTTAAAATCTCTTGACTAAAACTAGTGAAACCCAACTGAACTAAAGTAGTATGTATAAAGAGGAAGGGAAACATGGTTGAAAACCATATTATAGTTTAAGGTGGATTTTGTTTTTGAAAACCAAAGTTCGTCTGGGAGAATTTGGAATGTGATCAAATTAGCTTTTCACTAATTTAGACAAATTGGAATGTTTTCAGACCAGTTCACAATGCAAATCCATTAGGTGAATATTTATAAATTTTTTTTTTGCCAAATAATAATTATTTTAATCAGAGCCCTTTAGTGTGCCAGATTCCGAGCCACAGCCCATTAGCGGGCCAGTCCCCGAGCCAGAGGCTATTAGTTGGCCAGTACCCCGGCCAGAGCCCATTAGCGGGCCAGTCCCGAGCTGGAGCCCATTAGCAGGCCAATCCCCGAGCCAGAACCGATTAGCGGGCCAGTACTCGCGCGTAACAGAACCTCCCTTCTTAGTTAACTCCCCTCAGTTTCCTAGCCACTCAACCTACTCCACCCATTGTCCTAGCTCCCAAGTCAGACCCTGTCAGCGTCTCCACTCCTTAGTCAGAACCTGTTGGCGAGCCAGTCCCTGAGGCAGAGCCCATTAACTGGCCAGTCCCCAAGCCAAAGCCCATTAGCAGGCCAGTCCTCGAGCGTGAGCCCATTAGCGAGCCCTCCCTTCTTAGTTAACTCCCCTCAGTTTCCTAGCCTACTCCACCTATTGTTCTAGCTCCCCAGTCAGACCCTGTTAGTCTCCACTCCCCAGTCAGAGCCTCTTAGCATCTCTACTCCCCAGTAAGACCTTGTTAGCATCTCTACTCCCCAGTCAGACCTTGTTAGCATCTCCACTCCCCATTCAAAACCTGTTAGTGCTTCTCTTCACTCAGATTCCTTCAGTGTTCCACCACAGTTAAATCCTCTTTGTGAGCAACCTCTGTGCCATACAGAGCTCCCTGAACCCCAGGAAGGATCAAATGGTGAAACTGAGAACTCTAAAGCTCCAAGTTGTGAAACCTCCAAGTCCCCTCAGCAGGTGCTTTAGGCCACCAAGTGCCATCAGCAGCGCTCCACACTTCAAAGGCTCTCAGCTGGCACTCCAAGCATCTTTATGGGTCCGAAGCTGTGCAGCCCCCTCTAAGGTTCCTGAGCTGCAGTTGGCGGCCCCCAAGGTTCCTGTGCTGCAGAGACGCCGTCCTTCAAGGTTCCTGCTGCAGTGACACCATCCTCCAGAGGTTCTCCTTTGTTGCCGGCCTCACGGGCTGTCTTCTAGGGATCCTCCTTCGTCACCGGCCTGATGCTTTCTGGTGTTTCTCAGTATTTTGGATTTTTGGTTGTCTGCCTCTGTTCATTAAATCTTCAAGATTCACCTTTGCCTCCTGGTCTCTGCATTTCGGTCCTCAATAATCTCCACCCCATGGTGACACTGGGTTGATTCAACTAGATAATTTAAAAAATGCAGCTGAAGCATATTAGTTATAAAAAATGCAGAATTTCAAACTAGCATCATACTTTTTTTCTTATAACGATCTAAATGTGCTTTGTGTAAAACAGTCTGTGAATATAGCCCTATTAATGTATTAAAAAATTAGCTAGAAAAACTACATGGAGGCATGTTTGCTTCTCAGCCTTTAAGGTAGCTTTTTGCTCTATCAAATATTGTTTCTTTTTATAAAATGTTCTGCCTGCACATGCAAAATTTAGGTTTTAGTCATTGTTTCCCCCTTTACATTATATTAAATATTTCCATAAAAGGAGGCGGACTGTCATGATGGGTTCTCAAAGAGCGACCCAAGTATGCAGAACACCACTGATGGATACAGGAATAAAAGTTTAACAAGTTTATTTTGCTACAAGCACACAGAATGTACTGGTTCTGGCTCGGGCCTGGATACTGGTTCACCGGAGTCTGCGTGAGAGACAG